GATCTATTCTGTCATATGATTTGAATATAATAGCTTTGTATATAGAATGTACACACCGGATAGAACACCAGATATCAGATTATCCTTCGTGTGCATATCCTTGTACACAGAATTAGAATGGTGTACTAGATATCTTCTTTAAATGGGTTCTTTAACAAGCCTGAATTCTACACCATTATCCCTTAAGGCAGAAAGGTCAATTTAGGTTACGTTAGGTTATGTATTAAGCAGACACACTCACGAGCTGTCGGATTTTTAAAAATGATATCTTCGTGGCCAACTCCTTAACGCTAATTGTCTATATTCAAATGGCAATCTTTCAGCCAATTATTTACATCTCTTGTCAGGACCTGTTAATTTTTTACGGAGCTTTGAAAATGTCTGAACCATTATTACAGAGCTGTTTGCATAATAGTGTCGGGCAAACTGATGTGAAGAAATCTTGATCATGTTTTGCTACAAATGGAGGAAAACGTAATAGTTCCTATAACAGAGTACTGCTGGGGCAAAAATAATGCTTAGTTATACCCATTAATTGGAACATTTATCATTTAGAATCATATGAATTAGCTATATAGCCCATTTCTATTTGTTCTTAGGTAATTTAAGATGTCCGTGTTTTAATATACGACGTTATGTTTAAACTCACGTTCAAGTTGGATGTTGCTAAGGTAATATTTCAGTTGCAATAAACTTGATCGTTTATTTTGTAGAGTCGTTAAGGTGATTTTGAAGCAGGAGCCTGTAGGCATGATAATCGATCTTATAAAAACAGTAAATAGTCTCTTAAGACGATAATTATTGTATTCAACCGGTTTAACTGTTTAATTAATTGAAAAACATTCTGAACCTTTCCAGTATCACTATTCATCTGCAAAACCCCAGATTCAAATTTAAAAAACTATTTAGAGAAACATGAGCGGCATTGCTGAATCATTTTTCTAAACTGCTGTATTTTTGGTTGGAAAAAAGTGCTTGAAATTGAATGTTGTACTCATTGGCAATCGTAATGGATGCATGCCAGACAGACTGGCTGCTGCTCTTTTGTTTCAAAGAGAAGTTACTTCTTATTATATAAGATTCTGGCAGAAGCAATTTATTTTTTGCCTCGAATGTACGCATAGGTAAGATTTAAAAAAGCTAGGTCTTCGAATAGCAATCCTAAGTACGTCCTTAAATTATGCAGTGAAACTTATTAACCAACAAGATTCACTGGACACTGAGACTCTGTTGATGGACATATGTTGCATTATGAAATTTTGAACATTTTCACCTATTGGTTCTTGATTCATCTTCTATAGAAAGGGTTCATTTAAATAGAAATTTCTGAAATTTCTTCGATACGGAACGTAAATTTGAACCAATGTATGCAGAAGGAAATTATAAAGATGGTATTTCTGACAACGTAGATACAGGATTTGGCGAAGTTAAATTTAGTTGCAGTTATGTCAATCCATATATTCGCCGAGCCTTTCAGTAGCCGAGTGCATAAAACCGCTGCACACTGGTAGTTTGACACGGTTATTAATCACAGTGAATAGGCTAAAATGAGTACCAAGTTCGCTTGGGGACTAAACACTGGGGGTCCTGCGACAAGCTGACCACTTGTTCAGGGCCTATGCTTACGAACTCAGGGCCCCACGGTCAAGAAAACAGATTTTCGGGGCACTGCAGGCATTGGCCCACTAGGACTGTTACGCCACTGAGTTTAGTTTAGTCTACTTTATATTCAGCATAATTTAAGATTTTCTTACAAGCGTTTCGTAATATATTGTAATTAAATGGTTCAGTTTTTGCCACCTTTAAAGCCACGTTATCCTAATTCGAATATGAGAATGGCATTGAAATTGGTGTGCTCTCGTAAGTGGAATTGGGATAGAGTTTTGCTGTAACTGCTGTAACGATCAGGCGAATAGAAATTCGTTCTCTCCACCTCTATGCAAACACAAATGTAGCCAGCTTGCTAATAGGAATAAAAGAGATAAAAGTTATTTATTGTAAGGATTTTTATCAATGGTAGCAAAAATATGTTCAATGGAGGTGATCTCCCTCCTCCCCCCCCAAAAAAAATTCCTCTTTACAACAAAAGCTATGTAATATTAGACTGCTTCGCTTCATTTATAAAATAAATAACAAGTAAATTAAAAAAAAAAAAAAAAGAACTTATTCTAAAGTAAATTGTATGAGTAAATAAACAAATGAAATATAAAACTTGTTTCATGTTTACGTTCTTTCACGAATCACGATTTGTTGGCAATTTGTATTCTGCCCCTAAAATGTTGGAAGTGTTTTGTAGGTGTTGCCATTCATGCATTCGAAGTAATGTGTATTCAGAAATTCCGGGAACAGAAAATGACACGTTTTGCATCGTTGTTTTCCGGAACTGAGCCCTTTCGCGTCTCTCGCACTCCTAATGAGAATGGTTAGCGCAAAAAGTGCGATTTTCAGGGCACAAATTTACTATTTTTGTTCAAAAGTTGTTTTTTTCTTTTTGAATAGCAACATATGTATGGAAATGTTATTCCATCAGCAGCTAGCTTGCTTATTCAAAATAGTAGTGTACAACATCGCGAATAAAGGGATCGTTTTCAAGAATTCGTAAAACTTATTTGACACACTGCGCGATAAATTTAAAAATATGTTTGAAAATCGAGTTAGAATGCATTAATTCTTTAGAGAAACGCATTAATTCTTTTCATCATAAAATAAGATTAAAACATTACACTTCCAATAATTCTGCAAGTGACATTATCCGTGACGCATAGTGTTTGGATATTATACTCAGAGTGTTAGAAAATTTTACCAACTCAAGGGTATAGATTAAAACGTGCATTCATGAAAGTGGTTATTTGATTTTTTAAGCTTCCTGCACTGTAATTTAAAACTTAAATTTTTGTGATTAATGGGGGCCCATCAGCGGCCGAGCGCTAAAGTCGCTGAACACTGGTAGTTCGGTCCGAGGTTCGAATACCGTGGACGGGATGGCTGCATCGGTGTTTCCGTGGTTTTCCCCATGTGCAACGTGCATACGGGCCAGTTTACCTTAGAAAGTCCTCCACGAAGGCATTCATCCTCTTAAGCAGATAGCCCTCGAGGCTTTGCCGTAGATAAATAACCTAACCTAACCCTTAGAAAGTCCTCCACGAAGGCATCCCTACCCTTAGGCAGATAGCCCTCGAGGCTTTGCCATAATTAAATAACCTAACCTAACCTTTTGTGATTAATGTAAATTCTTTTTTTTTTTTTTATTTTATATCTAAAACATTCAGAATACCCATATTTTATCTCAAACATGAAAAAAAGAGAAAATCTACCAGTGGACGAGCGGATAAGACCGCTGAATACTAGTATTTCGATCTGATACAAACTCCTGCAAATGGGTTGGCTACGTAGGCATTTTCCCTTACTTTTCTGATGATATATATAAATGCCAACTAGTTTCCCTTACAATGTTCTAAACATAGACATCTCTTGCTTTACGGAATTATTCCTCGCATATTCTTCGCACATTAATCAACCAACTAAATGAGAGAAAAAAAGAAATACATATTTTTCAATATATAAGTAAAGTAAAGCAAAATTTGTGAATAGGTGAAGTAAGTATTGTAATAAAACTTTCTTTATAAAGTAAAGCAAAAAACCTCAACATTTTTGAGAAACTTTAATTAAACTTGCAAGCATCTTTTTGTCTGTTTATACTTGTACTTTCTGATATACAAATCATTTGTAATCAGCGTTTGTATTTATTTATAAATTTCCCTCACATATTTTACAACTATTGTATAAATTATAAGTGTATCGAAAGTAAATGTATTTTTTAATCTTCATTATATCTAAGGTGGACTGTGGAAAGAAAAAGAAAAAAAAATTTATATCTGCCGTTCTACTGGGCCGATTGAGGAAATTCAACTTGAGTTTTTCATGTCTTAGCGCGACTTAGGATATGTATTAGATTTATATATAGCATTATTCTACTGTAGGTATTCTGACTAAAAATCGGACTTTTACTGAAATGACATGCCATTTTCCCCCCGTATTTACATTCTACGACTCAAATTATGCCAAACTGCGAAGTTTTATAAAAATCGCATGAGTAATCTTTAAGAAAAGAGCTAAAAAAGAGAGAAAATTTTAGCTTTTTAATGTTAATTGAATTTGATATATATTTATTAATATCTCTTTTTTTATTAAACTTTCCTGATTCTTCCTTTCATATTTCCAAATTTAGGTTCATTCTAAATAAAATTCACCCATTTTTTAGAATTTATTTTTTAAATAATTTTATGAATTTTTCAAAAATAAATTTTAATTATAACGTATAAAGTTTTTGCCGCCTTCTCAAAGTATATGTATTTCTAAGCATACCTCTAAAAAATTAGTTTTTTTTTTTTTCAAAATTTCTTAAGCTATACGTGAATTTGCATTTTAGCGAGTTTTGAAATTTGGCGTATTTATTATAGCGTATAAATTATAGGGTACTGTAATAACGAAAACGTGATGTTAAAATTTTTTTAAAATATGAATGATGACTCCCCCCTCCGCTCGTGCACAAAGAAATAAGGCAAAGGAAAATAGGTGACTATAAATTAAAAAGTTCGCTAAGTGTATTATTCTTGGTGCAATCTGAAAAAATACGACAAGATACATTTTTGAATTTATCCATAAATATATCACCAAAAATTACAAAATTTAATATCTAGGCATAATGTGAGTCGTAGAATCTAAATATGGTTAAAACATTGGTATGTGTTATTTGAGAAAAAGTCCGATTTTGAGTCAAAATACCTACGTTAGAACAATGCTATATATAAATCTAATATGTATCCTAAGTCGCGCTTTCGATACTTGGAAAACGCAATTTGAATTTCTTCAATTGGTTCAGTAGAACGTGAGATATAGAACTGCACCCCCCTTTTTGCGCAGTGTACTTAAGAAATATAATGAGAGAATTTTTAAAACTGATAATTGTTAGAATTATATTTCTTTCTTTTCTTATTTAGATCAACCGACGAAACGGGCCCGCACAGCATATACAAATTCCCAACTGGTAGAACTTGAAAAAGAATTTCATTTCAATAATTACGTCTGTAGGCCACGAAGGCTAGCGTTGGCTAAACAACTTAACCTTACTGAACGCCAGGTCAAAATTTGGTTTCAGAACAGACGCATGAGACATAAAAAAGAAGCAAAAGAAGGCAAAGGAGGGGATCTAAACAATCAGACACCTAGTCCACAACTGGTCATAAACTCCTCCTCCCCACATTCAATTTCTCCACCAGTTGTAACCATTGAGCGTAGTTCTTCAGGTTCAAGTTGTGTTCCCGTATTTCAACAGTATGGGTACAGATTTTCAAGCAAAGATCCTCTTTACAAGTCTCCAACCGTTGGAGCAACAGAAACACACATAACTGCTTTACAAAGACTGAGCATTGATGCAAAAAATAAGCATATAGTTAACAGCAGCTGTATGAAAAATAACAACTGTTATTGTTCGAACAATGTTTCTGCATTTAATAGCCAGAATACAAGTGGAGCAATCCAAAACGAGCCTTCAAAATTTTCTATGAATGATCGAACAGTTTGTTCTAGTACTTTCCATCCAAGCGTATTTCCAAACAGTGATTACCAAAATCATTATTCAAACTACGGATATCCTAGAGAATATGGTAACCCGATGTTAAGCGGTGCATTTAGAGGAACTATGAGAAGCCCTGGCAGTAGTTTTGATCTTTATCAAAGAGGTTATAACAACAAAGAAATGACATCCTGTGCTGTAGTTCAAAATCACACTCCAAGTTATGAACGCTTATCGCCAAATGCAGTTGGTGCTTCTTCATTTTCAAGTTTAGAAAAGAATACTAATGATTTACCCAAGCACCAGGATTCTTGCGCAGTTAGACCTAACCAGAGGACCTGCGATCCAGCACTGCAAGCGCCAAGTGGGTTGGTATCGGATGTGCATGTCTCCAGCCGTCTTCACACACCAAGTGTTACAACTTCTTGTTTACTGACTGATTCTGGGTTTTCAGGTTTCAGCAACAGAAGAGCACAGTCATGTAGTGCTGACTGGAATTTCCTGTCTGAAAACTCTCGTTATGAAAATAGCATGCAAAATGTGCATGAAGCTCCAACGCCACCTAGTTTTACTAATTTATGAAACTATATTTGCGAATTAGTGTTTTAAGTATATGACTTCTGTTAAGCAGAAGGTAAGGCATAAGGACTGAGCTAATCCTGAAGTATATTTTTATGGCAATTTCCTCAATTTAGCGAATATTAAGAATTAAGCTTATAAGTGTATGCAGTATTCTATTACTTTAAAATTTTAAATTAATTTAATTGATTTAAAAATTTTAAGATTTATATTTTGCAGTTCAAATTTACGAATTTTAAATGAATTTGGAAATTTTATTATACTTGTCATATACATTACATTAAAATGATATTTTACTAGTCACCAATAAATTTTAAATATTTTTAAAGATACAGAGATATTTTCTTTTAAATTTTCTAAAGTTTTCTGAAAATTTTCTAATACTAAAGAAATTCAGTTACATCTCTTTCACTACTTTCAGGTAAATTTCACTTCTCTGCAAACAGCAAACGAACGAAAAATTTAGTCACAAATATTGCCTTATTATTTAAGATACACTTTTCCTCTTGACTAGATTTGGTCATTTCTCTATGTTTTAGTATACGTCACTGTATTTTGTAATTATATGTAATGTTAAAATGTTAAGAAAATAGATTTTTCTCCGTGCTTTCAATTCAGTTTGAAATGTTATTAGCAAAATAAACTTAATAGTTCATTAAATATTCAATATTTGTTCTAATTTAATATTAAGGAACTGGAAGACATATTACAAGAATTAGATCAGGCTTTTGAGTGAAGAGACAAACCATGAAGAAAATGGGCAGATGGCAGCACTCATTCTATTGTGTTTCATTGGGCTGGCATAATCCAACAAACCCACGAATTTTATCGCGGCAAGAAGAGCAAGACTGCGTCTATTGTAGGCATGAGCCTTGAGTACCGTATAGAGGATCGTACGATTTTGTACAGATCTGTTACAGTTTTGATACTGAGCACCTCACACTATACACATACAAACATCCATACCTTCTTCGAGATTTAAATTCGAGACCAAAGATACAGCAGTCTGAGTACCAAACGTTGTATCAATGAGGGCAAATCGATTCTTATGTTGTAGCTGTTTCTTCCAATTTCCTAAACTCAACGTAAAGCCAATATAAAATTATTTTAACGATTATCGATGCCATAAATCTAATGCAAATACACTACTGACATGATAGTGCAAGGCCTTTCATTTGTTTAATTTTATTTTATCGAGTTCACGGATTAGATTTGTTTCTGTAAGATAAGATCCACGTAGTGGATTTTATTGTGGGCAGCTATTTCAACAAAGGATAATCTTTCTTAATTTGGTACCTGAAATCCCCCAAATAAATAAAAAATAATATGAATAAAGATTTTTGAGATCACATCATCTTAAACATTGTGGTGTTCTTGATTTTTAATCTAAGTAAAGCCCCGCAAATCTCACACTTTGCAAATGTGCGAGTATGATATAATCATCGCCAGGCAAAGTTTCTTAGCATGCAGTTTTTCTTAAATTTATAATTATTAGTGTTTACCAATATTATAATTTACAAATTTAAGAAATAATATTATTAAATTATTATAAAATTAACAACTGAAAATCAGTTGAAACATTGTATTTAATATGCATCAAAACTGCAGTATAAACATGCTAAAGTTTGAAAAATAATAAGCAATAAACAGAGGAAATGTAAGTTCTCGATATTATTGCAAAGATTTTTCTTTTGGGTGAGAATGAGAATTTACACAACAAAATTGATTAAAGGATATATTCAACATAAATATCATACAGTGCCCGTAAATAATAAACTCAACTAATTGACTTTGAAGGAAAATGTACAAAATTTAATTAACAAATAATGTACGTAAAGAAATGCAGCAAATTGTTAGTTTATTATAGAACAGCAATTTTACATGAGACAAATAGGATTTGTTAATTTATATTCAAATTTACCAACTTACAAAAGCATGCATTAAGAGGTAGCTAAAAAGTCATATTAGTGAATAACCAATACAGTCTACACAAAAGTTGTAGGTAAATTGTTACTTTTCTAAAGCTTTATCTAGTTTAAACCTTTCTATTTAACATAAATATCGAAATTAAAAGTCAGCAAGTACAATATCTCCTCTTCACACCATGTGCAAGATGTGATCTGTTATAAAAGGGAAATCGTCACTTCACAGCAATATCGTTCAGGCTTGTATATAAAAGTCGGTGCTGCCAGAGGCCAGGTATACCCAAGACCTCCTACAAGAGGCACAATTCATGTATCATTCTTTCTCGGTCTCCGTGAGAAACTCTGTAATTGCTCTGGGAAGTACTGTTTAGACAGTAGAACTCCAGAATAACACGGCAGTATTGCAGGTCAGGTAATGTTCCACAAAGATATTGCAGTAATTTATTGCCACTTAAAAAATCGCGCTTGTTGTGACCTTAAATGATGGCTTACCAATCGCGTGTGCTCCGGTTTGGATAAAGCAATTAACATTGTATCAATTGAAAGCATATTACAGTCCACTGCTTGTGGTTCATTCATTTGGATGTGTAAAAGGCTTTACAGACGTATCAGCAAATTTTGAGCAAGACTCTGTAATTGCATACTCATAAATAATTTTATATTAGTCATACAATATATTACAGTGACAATAACTGAAGTTAAAATTTTAAAATTAAGCTGATTTTTTTATATTGGACATTTTTGGTCCATCTTTCAAAATGTTACATGACAGAAAGTTTATACCTTTTATGCAACTAAATGCTTTCAAAGTAAACTGAAATCATCATATTTCAATGATAACACTAAACATGGAAAGTATAATGCACGTTTAATACAGTCTATGATGCTTGTTTATTCTTTATAAACCGCCAAGGAGCGCCATACTTAAAAAAGTTGATAAATAATGCTTGTGTGAATGAACAAAAGTGAGCTTACATATTCATTCACGTAAGTATTTGAAATGTTTAAAATGTTTATTCTTTAAAATGAAAGAAATGTATATTCTATTTTAACCAGGAATGATTTTTGTGACCTTTTAATGAGGTTCTTTTTATGTGATGAAGTTTTGTCCAATAAAGGAGCAATGTTTGTTTTAAAATAAATATTTGGGATGTACAGTTATTAGTCTTATTTTATTTTATTCTTCCCATCATACACTGCTACACGGTTCATTACAAAATGACTCATTTTCCTTTTCAAACGGAATTTGTTTCTTACTTCGAAGTTCACATTTTATTTTTAAAAGCCATTCGATTTTAAAGATGAGCACAGAATTTGAAATTTAGCATTAAATTAAGATTTAATCTTTAATATAATGTGTTCCAAGACAGACTGGCAAATGTCTAAGCCCAGATCAAAATTTAAACTGAAAATTGGTATACGAATCTTAAGTTAGTAAGTGTTTAAAAGATAGACAAAGGCATTGCATTCATAATAGTGTGTTTTTTGTGCTCAGTTAAAAGCATAGTTAATATTTAGCTTTAAGGAATTGACTGCTGTTCAGAAATTTGCTTCTCAAACTGGAAGAAAATCTGAGGACTTAGCAAGTGTGAAATGCTTACCGAAAATGAACATACATTTTGCCAAAATAGGAAGTTGTTTACTAGTTATGGAAAGAAATCTTACAGTCTAAAATTTCATAAGCGGGATCAAACGGTTGTTAAATTGCCATTAACGCATAAGAAACTGAGTAGCTGCTGAATTTGATATGCCATAGCTTTCGCCTTCGATACGCTTGTCGGGACCGTTAGACTACCACATATGCATCCATTCATTTTCAGAGCTCCAGCGAAAGTGGGATTCGTTGCTGAAGATAATTTAACAAGTTATTGGGGCATCAGTCAGAGCAACTATGAATTCTTTAAGAAGTTAAGCAGCAAGCTTGCTTGGAAATCTTTTGAGATGATGGCAGGCTCACTGCTCCTCTAACAACGGATGATGTTGTTATAGAAGTTGCTTGAGTTTATTGCGGTGTGAGGGGGGAACATCTAAGCAAAACCTGCAGGCTCCAGACATAACATGAGGAGTACAAGTGCATTCTTTAACCTCCAATACACGAACATTTTAAGACCGTTTATCCATCTCTTTCCGTACGTGCACATATATGTTTCGTTAATTAGATAATCTCTTATAAGTTGGTTAATCGCTTTTATTCAAAGTCCTTTAACAACTTCATTGCTTGCGAAATGGGTTACCTAGCTGATAAAAATCACCGAATTTCGGCGAGCTGGTTATATAAGCTTTTTTTGTATTTTCTGTGTGTGGATATGGCCCACTGGCCTACGTCCTGGTGGTATCTCTTTATTGAGAAGTTAGCCCTTGTGTGCTTATTAATAATTTATTAATAAAATAAAAGCTAGCCATGTAAAAGCTGTATTTCTTCGAGCCATTGCAAAGAGGAACTATTACACTGCTTTTTTAGATTATAAAGTGAATGGAATTTATCATAGCTATCATGTGAGGGTATGACCACTACTCCTTCGTGCTTGGAAATATAAATTCTCTGTATCCTCAGTTATGAAATTCAAATGTAATAGCAGAAAGCTTTTGCCAGCCACTAGCTGCTATACTGCCATATATGCTAGTCGTTACGATCCAATATATATATTTAGCGACGAAGCCGGTGACATACGTATCATACGCAGTGACCTTAATCCTGGTAATGTTGGACATTATGGGTCAGATGTACTTGTGCCATGTTCTATTGCTATATTCCCATAAAACATTCTGAAAATCAACATTCATCAACAGAATATTGTATAACGCAGGATTTCAGATCCATGGTAATGAATATATAGCCCTGCATGCTTCATTTTACCTTTCACTGAGATTTTGCAAACGGTGATTGATCCAACACGATGTTTCGCACAACGTATGATGTCTGGAAAGATGCTGATGCTAGTTACTTGCTATCAGCCATGTTCATAATAGAAACAATGGCCGTCTAGAAAAGATGCTTCAGTCGACATTTCACTTAACTGCTCAATTAAAGAGATTGACATGACTATACATACATCATATTCTGCATGTCCGGTACCATGTTTGCAAGCCTAAATATTGTTGTGTTTGCCCTTGATTCACCTGTTGCGTAGTCTCGTAATTGTGATCTAATTCTGTCCAACCAATGTCTCTGTGGCTTAAATTAATTTCTTAATTAATCTCACAGTTATTCCTTGATTTAAACTTAAAAGTTGGGTCATGTCCTTATCATGTTTTTGTCGGAGCATACTGAATCTTTTAGTTGATAAAATGTGCTTGCGAAAGCAATATCCCATTCTTAAAGGCAAATTAAATATTGGCAAACAGTGATA